GCACAAAAATGGGGCAATGAAGGAAAGCAAAGAGGCGTGCAAATTGAGAAAGACTGAAAAACTAAAAGGCAGGGAGGTTTAGAGGAGATGTGGTGCCAATCACAAACCTGGGACATAGAGTCTGGCTGTGCCCTCATCCATGCCAAGCATATTGGAGCCCGTGCAAACATAGATGCCTGCGTCCTCAGGCTGCACGTTCTGAATGGTCAGGATTCCATTGAAATCCATGGCCCGGTTAGGCAGCTTGCCGATGCCATTGCGGGTCCAAACCAGGGTGTACGCTGGCAGCTACGAGAGAAGCACATGTCCTCAAATATTTTCATTTACAGTCATTCATACACACAGCCAAATCCTGCTCGCTCTCTCTGTCCCATCTGTTTTGGCAGTCAGGGAGGCTAAGATTATGTCTGTGATAGATGTCTGCGTGGATGACATTCATACCTTGCTTTTGGCTGTGCAGATGAAGCTCACTGTAGATCCCACATTCATACTCTGTAGTTTGGGCTCCTCAATAAAGACCTCAATCGGTTTGGATGGTAAGGCTGGTGTGGGAAATCAAGAAAGAAAAATGTTTTTGTACCTTGACCAATGTGTCCCAAAAAAAAAGGCAAATGTAATAAATATTAATAAATTTAAATAATATAAAATATTATAAAAATAAGATATAAACATTACCAATATAAAATAATAAAATACATTGAGGACACTAAAAGACTCGATATCATCAAATTTATACTCGTTTCATCAAATGTCTACATACTTAAACACCTCACATTATCCAAATTTACAACTATGTTCAATCCCAACCAGATTTTTGTTCTACTGTAAATGCAACTTGAGGGTAAAACAAGAGCAACCTTTAAAAACTAATTGTAAAATGTATTTTGTGCTGTCATACATTAAATCAGTGTTAAGTAAAAGACTAGAATAACATGCATATTGTGTTTTTTTATGGTGATGAAAAATGCCTTACTTGTAACAACAATCTCTGCTTTGCTTCTATTGGAGCTGCGCTGGTCTCGGCAGGTGCAGATGTA